CTTGATAATCAACCTCGTTCTAATGGCCTTTTCCGATCTTGACGCCTGGCCGTGGGAAATCTAGGTTAGAGATTAGCCCGCGCCCCCATGTAAGAGAAAAAGCCATGGGACGAGGTTGCCTGATTCCGATCACAAATCACAACAACCTCCCGCTTTCGATGCAGCTATATTAACAATCGGCTATTGACTTGTGAACAATTATTGCTTCCATACATCATCGATCATTTCAGAAAAGAAATTGACCCTGTAAAAAGTGAACTGATCAACATGACCCAGGCGTGGAACGAAGAAATTCTTTGTCCCACGTTCGTGTCATGTTGATCAGTTCACTTTTCACATTTCATTACCAAGCTTAAAAAAAAATCCACCATCTTTATTCACTTATCACAAAATTGACCCTGTTTCGTGGCCTTCAGTCGCGCATTTGCAGTCTTCCCAAAGCTCCACCATGAGGATTTGTAATGTGCCACCCTGGGACATTTGAAAAATTTTTTCATAAAAAAAACAACAAAAACAAAAACAAAACTGGCAAACCACCCGGAGGGGAAGGGCAGAGACTCAAAAGTCGAAGGAAAAGATCATAAAACTGATACGCAATAAACAGATTGAAATTCCTGTTTACTTTTTCGTATTGCTTTGCAATTTACAATTTTAAGCTACACGGCCATAATGGCGACCTATCTGGCTTTGGAATATTAATTTACATGAAACCAAGTTTGACTTGAAAATTTCGAATTTACTAACGTCATAACAAGGACCATCTGTTGAATCGGCCCATATTCGTATTCTCGGTATTGGACTGGAACTAGCTTGCAACTGAGGCTAACGCGGGGAGTCTTTTCAAATGCAAATGACATTGATCTCTTCTTAATGACATCCCCCCCGCATGAGCCTCCATTGCAAGCTAGTTCCAGTCCAATACCGAGGATACGAACACGGTCTAGTGGCTCTTCAGTCAGAGTGACGGATAAACCACGACTAGAGCCATTCTTCAGGGATTTATAGGGTTTCAGTAATTCAACTGTCCCTTGGATTTGGTCATGACT